GTTGGATACAGTAACATGACTCCACATGCACTATGCCATTACAACTTCTGTAATGTTAGTCAGGCATGGCTGAAAGATCAATGAAATAACAAATATATATATATAGATGTATAATTTTATGAGATTTAAGCTATTTAGACTAAATATTTGTAGTAAATGTTTACTGATAATATGCCAAATTTCATGAAGATATGCTTCCAGTATCAAACTATAACAAGTACAAAATGGATACAATATCGGTCTCTGGGACCGAGCCCACAGTGAGAGAGTTATGTTACAAAATATAATTCCTGTATATAACAGTGGTCAACCACATCACTGATAACTGATTTGATAATAAGCATGCCAAGTTTTCTAATACACACGAGAAAAAAATGAAATGAGCATATTATTAGCTGATATAATGTCTATACTAGTCCACCTCCCATTAATTGTGTTATTAATGTAATGAAATGTGTTAGTTTTTATTTCTCAAAATATATAAAAACATAACAGACTATTACATTTTTAAGGTAAGGAAGGTAGTTAATGCTTGGATACAGAGTGCAGTCAAAACAAAATTAAATTAGATCACGTTAGTCAGATCTTGTTTGAAACACTGAACTACTGACCATCACACCTATACTGTAACGATAACTAGTGGTTTGACAACTTATTACCTTCCTGTAGTTTCCAAGTATCAAAGGCTTGGAATGCTATATAAATCAAATTGTAATATTGCTCATTATAATGTCAATACTGCCGAACCCTCTTGCTAAAGAAGTAAATCATCCAATTTCTCACCGTATCTACATGAATCTATCTATTTTAATCAAAGCATATTAAATCACTACTCATTCTATACTATATATCTCTTCTAACAATGTACATTAGGTACACAATAATAAAAAACACAATGCTTTTCTTACTGTATAGTAGAAATAGTTTATTTTTTTTTTTAAATTGTCAGAACAAAAACCATCATTTCTTATTTACCTGAATCAAGTTTCCTTTGATTGGGAGAACTACAATCCCAAATAATATCCCCCTGGTTTTCTTGAGAACATAACCACTTAGATCTCAATCTTCCTAAACGTGGAGTTGAAGAGGGAGTGATGGGTGTTCTCAATTTTTCACGCTGTGGAGTTGACGACATGACTGGTGTTACGGGAGAAGCCAGTGTTGTCTCCTTCTTTACCTTTGATTTTACTGTTTCTGGTGTTGTACATTTGATGTTTGTGTCTGTAAATTGAGAACTCATTTCTTTTCACAATGTAAATGTACATACAATTCAGTCAAATGTGAAATATTTGGGAATTTTATGTAAAATACACCAGTTTCTAAACAAGGGGTAAAAAGATACAAGTTTTCTTCTTTGATTAATTAATTACTCTGTAAAAGAAATTTTCTTAACATGAGAGTATACTGACAGGAGTGTATTTCAATATTTGCAAGTCATCTATCTGTAAATAAATTAGTAATTCATGTATTTCAATATTTGCAAGTCATCTATCTGTAAATAAATTAGTAATTCATGTATTTCAATATTTGCAAGTCATCTATCTGTATATAAACTAGTAATTCATGTATTTCAATATTTACAAGTCATCTATCTGTAAATAAATTAGTAATTCATGTATTTCAATGTTCGCAAGTCATCTATCTGTAAATAAACTAGTAACTCATGTATTTCAATGTTTGCAAGTCATCTATCTGTAAATAAACTAGTAATTCATGTATTTCAATATTTGCAAGTCATCTACCTAAAAAAACTAGGAATTTATCTGTATTTTTAAAACTAACCTGGTCTTATCTCTAATAATATTTGCTCTAGCTATACCTAACTATAAGAAAAGATGAATATTGTGATAAAACTTTAAAAACAAATGTCTAGCCAACAAGGTTTCTTAATTGCAACATTTTACATGTATAAAATGATACAAAATTCCTTTCTATCTACTGTTTGTAGGTTCCCAAATGTTACAGATTAAGAAACAGAAAATAAAAACAAAAACAATTCTTCCCCCGAGATTCAGCTTAGATATGTTCGTAGACAAATTCAGAACTTAAAAACTTTTTGTGGCTCATAGAGAAATATATATACACTATATATTTTTGTGAGTGTGTGTGTACAACAGGGAATTTAAAAAACAACATACTGGCAGAATTAGAAAGTAGTCTCTGAACATTTATACATTGATCGATCAAAAGTTTGATCTGCTCAAACATGTAAAACTAGCTTTAAACAAGTAAAGTCCTCACTATGGAGGACCAGCATAGATAATTGTATGAACTATTTCTTGAAATGAAGTTTCAAAATCCAAACACCATATGGTTGGCATAATAGAAAATGTTCTACCTCATTTTGTCCTACAATTTCCAAAAATAATAATTATTGTCCGATACAAGGCTCTTGTCTAAGGCCCCACATTGTGTAAAGCTGGCATTGCAACTATGAGCTTGAACACAGAAACAGGGATGGTCACTCTTTATTGAGGTAATTATCCTATATAGTGATTTTTTGTGAAAATGTTCACAAAGAATAAAATAAACAAACATACATATTTGTTCTCAATGATAAGAATCACTTTTTCATCTATTAATGATTTATTATGAATTGTACGTACTATTTTTAGAACTCATAATATTATCAGATTGTCAAAATCAAATTTTTATAACCATAATTCAACAGTTCAAATTATTTCAAAAATATATTAGTTCCTTTGTAGAACCTTACATCAAAAACAATTAAAAAATTGTGCAAAAATTCTACATATTTGTAGATTAGTTCTACTTCTAGGTATTGTATCATACCCACTGAAGCCATCACTGAAAACTTCTAATCAATCAATACATAATTCACATGTTTTGACTAACATAAGAGTATTAACATGGCATAATAAACTCACGAAAGTATCGTCTGTTTGTAGTTAAACACAAAGCTGCACATTGGGCTAACTGTGCTCTTCCCACCACAGGTATCGAAACCTGGTTTCTAGTATTGTATGTCCGCAGAAATACCGCTGTGCCACTGGGGGGCACAGGAAAGTAAAACTGTTCTCAAATATTAAATATAACTTATTTCCAATAATGCATATCAACAGTGGTGTAGCAAGGGTTCTCAGCACCCGGAGGCAAAGACACTTTTGGTGCTCCCACCTCTGAAATGTTTTGATTATTTGTTTAGTGACTCATTACCCACTTTTTTATGATAATAACATAAAGAACTAATTACCGCCTTACACAGGCCTAAAATAAAGTCACAATAACACAACCGTAAACCTGGAACTAATGAAGTATAGCCTACTAGGTGTACTTACATAATTTGTAAACCATTTTGATATTTATATCATCCAGTGTTGTTCAAAATCACATAGCTAGAGTAATCTTTCAAGCATGCAGAATAAATTTCTGTTATATCTAGTTTTGAAACTAATGCTTTATATGAGAAGCCAGTCACTTGTGGTGTACATGGATTATAAAACAGATTGATAAAATACTACCTAAGTTTACAAATAACAAGTTTTATTAGCTTACGAAACTGTACATATACTTAACTAGATCTTTTACAGGTAGCATTCTGGTATTTATGGTTACATTATATGAACCTATTGTGCTTTTGCTGCTGTAAATGCATCAATTAAACTATCAAAATTTAAGGTATTATGTA